TACTTATTCAAGTATGAAAACAACTATAATTTTCTGCATCACCAAATGAATGCATACAATTATATGTAACTGTAACGTTACAGCTGGGCTTCATTTGGGATGTTAATAAGATACCGTTTAAGAAATTCTACATATGAAATTGAATCTCCAGAGAATCCATATTGCACTTAAAAAATGCTGTTTAAAAAAGAAATAAATTATATGTGTAAGACCCCTACATGCTATACCAAGCATAGGTATACACCCTGTCCATTTTGTTGACAGCTGTTCCTGCTTGTATTTGGTTCTCCTGCAAGGTTTGGTTGGTATCGCATGCGTCCATCTCTGGCTCTGGTTTAAATGGTCTTTTTCCCCATGTAGAAATTTTGTTCCTGCCCCATAATTTACAGTCTTACCTTCTATGCTGCAAAATGTGTTTATCTTTTTAGAAACTTTGCCTTCTTGGTGTAATGAAGTAATTTCTCCTCTTATCATTTGGGACAACGGAGTCATTTTCTTCATGTTTGATAGCTTAAACACGTGCATGAGAGAGATTAATTTTATATATTTTGTAATATCCCCCACTAAGTGCATGTCTTTGGACAGTGGGAGGAAGCCGGAGTACCCGGAGAGAAGTGGGGATAGGTTAATTGGTTAATCCAAATTGCCCATAGGTGTGAATGTGAGTGCGAATGGTTGTCTGTCTCTGTGTGTTGGCCCTGCGACAGACTGGCGACCTGTCCAGGGTGTACCCCGCCTCTCGCCCTATGACAGCTGGGATAGGCTCCAGCGCCCCCCGCGACCCTGAAAAGAATAAGCGGACGCGAATGGATGGATATTTTGTAATAATATATAGTATATAAAACTTTTTTGATTATGTCATTAAACTGGTATCATAATAAAAAATTGTATAGATGTGTACTTGACATAACTGGACTAATGTATGCTATATATCAGGAGAAAATTCTACCCTTTCAAACTCCTAACTGTCCTGCAAAGTGGAATGACTTTGATCTGTATTGTCTCAAATGATTTCTGTACTCCTCTGCTTCAATTATAGAAGCAGAGATTCTCGTGATTCATGATGTTAAAGACATCAATTTACCAATTGTAACCTGATTGCTTCCTTGTCTCCTTTGACGAATAGATTGCTAACCTCTGCGCCATTCACCCAGTTAAATAAAATTTGAAAAAATAATAATTGGAAATACACTGACAGAGCAAGACGAGGGAATTCAGGAAAAATACAATAGCTGAATCAAATCAGACCATTGAACTCTCAAAAAGTTGAAACCTTCATTAATACTGATAATGCCTGTACAGCGTGTGGGATGTCCAAATGTTTTGGAGATTGCATGTTTCCAAACACCCTAAGCCCTCTCAAAAACAATAAGTAAAATAATGACATATCCCCACTGTTTTCTTCCACAGCTTTTGTTTGTGTTCACTGCTGATTGCAGAGTGTGTAATAAGGTTAACTCCAGTTTCTTTTGAGTCAGCCCGCAGTCTTTGACAAAAACCCTGGCTGGGCTTTGATCACTTTCCACCCTCTGCTATCCTCCCTTTGTTGTTTTTCTCTCCTGAGCATTCATTTTTCTCAACTCCATCTGCATCCCACCTCCTTTTTCTTCATTCCTCTGTCTCATTTAAGCCGTCCTGAACCTTTTGCTCCCTCACTTTTCTTTCCCTCCCCTTTCTAAACGTATTCTCCGTCCTGAAAAGGAAAGAGGAAAAAGAGACATCAGTCTAGAAATCAAAAGTGCAGGGCGTCATGTCTCCCCATGAATTCCTACACACCTTGTAATTGCTGTCAGCGAGCCCTCCGACAACTCACTTAATTGCCTGCCATCCAATTTATGGTGAGATTGGGGAGGCGGAGAAAAAAGAAAAAAGTTGAAAAAAGCCAAGAGAGATGACAAAAGCAGGGCAGGGGAGGTGGAGAAGCAAGCCTAAAAAGACGTGGCTGCTAAGCACTGAATAGAACAGCAGCGAGTCCATAAAAAGAGATAACATATCATAAAAGTAAGGGTTTTTTATGGTCTAAACTTAGGTCAAGAAATTTTCCCCACACTCGGAAAGGAGAATTTCATGATGGACCTGCAATTAGCGTAGTTTTCATTAATATTAGTGACTTGCATAAAAGTACAGTGAAGTAATGATTCTATGTGGGAGGACTGCACAGAAGCTGCTATTGTTCGAATAGATGGTTCTGCACAGCGTAATTGGTATAAGTGCTGTCATTAACGCTCCATTGAGCTATATAATGTTGTTCTATGCAAAGGTGTGTTCAGGGCCTATTTAGCTGCTGCAGTGTCTACAGATAATGCTCTGAAGCAGAAATAGACAAGATTTTAGCTGTGCCCCACACTGGCATTTGACTAGTAGGTCTTCTATCACATCTGTAGGTATTTCTGACAGCAAGGCTTAAAATACAACAGGCTGGATACAGAAAGAAGGAGAAGAAGACCTTTGCACCGGTGCTGTACTGCATCAGAGCTTCTACCAGAAAGGAGCAAGTAGATAAATAAAAACATCAGCAATGACCAGCCGGTGCTGAACACATAAATCATTCCATCTAGATGGAAGAGCTCACCCTGGCTTTCCCCATATAAGGAAAGGCAGGGGAAAGCACAAAAGATCCTTGTGGTACAGTCCCAGCCTTTTTCTACAGGCTGCCACTGAACACACGCTACTTCCAGATAACTGGTGAAACCAGTCAAAACTCATCCTTTGTTGTTTACTCCTTTTATTTTCTGCCTGTCAAAGCAAAGTTGACTTTTAAGTGATTTGTCTTTCCTCTGATGTCATCTGTCTCGGGTGCGAAGTGATAAGTTTGCGATGCTAATGAGCACAGAGACTGGCAGCAACAATGGTAGCAAAAACCTCTGGGATCTGGCCACATTTGTGGAATTATTCATCAGATATTGTACCTATGTAATGTCACATAAACATAATGTATATGCAGCACTTTGCACAAACACTTTTTTTTTTACCTGAACAGACCCAGGCCATCATTATCTTTGTTTCCTGTCTAGTATTTGTATTTTAGTCCCACTTTTGATTCAACTGATATTCTTTCTCATGTTTTGTGTTTTTTACATTTTCTAGTGTCTCCTGTGTTTCCTCTGTTTTTTCTTGGAGGTGTCTTGGTTCCCTTGTTATTACTTCCTCTTTCATTCCCGTTGTTTTCCCTCACCGTGTAACCTGTCTTCAGTTGTTTTCACCTGTGTCTAAACAGACTCTGTGTCTCATGACCCCGGTACATTTAGCAAATTGTAACAGTGGCAATCAGGCTAAGTGCAGGAAAGGCAAAGATTTTTTTGGTACTATTTTTCTTTCCAAAAAAAGGAAAGAAAAAAATAGATCCTACTACTATTCATGCACAGAGGTCCAAGGGATCTTCCAGGAAAGGTGACAGTACTTTTTGGAGAATTGATAAGTCAGGACGATCTCTGATTTTAAACCTAACAGATTCTGCTTTGTAGTAGTCTGCAGAATAAGTTACCATAGCGATGACCCCCGAATAACAAGTGACACCCCCCCCCCCTTTAGATTCTTGCCCTGATTGAGAGAGCGTTGGTGTTTTTTTCTTTTCTTTTTTCACCTTTATGAGTATATGTTGTCCTACCATGACTCCCTCACTGTCCTTCATCTGATCCTCTCCTCAATAGAATCTTAACACTCCATTATTCAAAACACATTTTACAGTAAACATGAAAATTCAACACATTTGCAGTTCCTCTGCTTGAAAGTGAAAGCTAGGAAGAAAGACTCTTAATTGTGATATATTGGAAATAGAATAACTACAGCTATAGCAGCTGAGACGATTTGTGACTGCTGATGTTTTTGATGATTTATTTATTCAGTTCCTAAATGTCTGTCTTACGTTTATTGCGAAATATACAATTCTGCAACATAATATGAAACCACCCACACTCTGTTCCTTCTAGTGTATAGAATTCTGTTTTTATTGGGACTGAAACATGAGACAGAGTTCCTCCAGCACCAGACGTCACTGATAACAATGATGCCACTGTGAAGTCACATTTAAAAGCTAATAGTTAAATATATGCAGGGTTTTTTTTGTCTTTGTCTGTACTTTTGCACTGTGCACCTGCTAAATTATTAAACATCTGAACATAAACCATCGCTGCTGTTTTGTATTTTATCATCAGAGAGAGAGAGAGAGACTATCCAGACCTGCCATGCAAGGTCATGACAAAGATAAAGAAGCTGTGTCGGAAGATAAGAGGAGAAATTATTTCACTATAAAGGCAATGGTTTCAAAAGGAGTTCCAAGAGTCTCAGTTGGCGCCATCATATTTGACTTTATAACTATTGGTGCGGCAACAAATCTTATTGGGTGTGGAAGCAGCAGCTAAATCTCTCCACTGGGAGGCCCCTATGGAGAAATTTGTTTGTTGTAAACAACATCTGAGAAAGTCTCTTGTATCATTGCCAAGACTTGCAGGAGGACCAGATAAAGCCAAGAAGCAAACGTGTTAGTGCAGACAAAGAGAAGAACATGAAACAAGGACTTTATGCTGAACTCCTTTGAGAAGTTATTTTCAGTTTCTCTGAATATTAATTCCCTAAAGAGATGATGCTGTCTTGATTGTGATGCTCACTCTGTTGTAGCTATTCCCACTGCTTTTGCATCATTATGGTCTTTCATTAGATGTTGGGAAAGATTGCCATACACTGCACTGGGGCCACGTATGGTTACCTACACAGGTAAACTTCTTGTCTCTCCAGTAAAACTGAACATCTGTGTTATTGCTGAGTCACTATGCACACATTATAGTGATTTAAACAAACACACCATAATTGACAGTAAACATTCACACCCACATAAACAAAACAGGAAACCTTTCTTGTTGTATAAGTTCATGGCCAAAGTCGGGCTGACACAGGATAAAAGCAGAAATAAACAACCACTGCAAGACCTAAACAAACAAGTGTTGTTCCTGAAGATGAAGTGGCCAATTCACGCTGTCCGCAAAGAGACTCTCCCCTCTGGGCGCTAGCTTTGGCTTTGATGAATATTCATGAGAACATCTCTGGTGTGATGGCAGCGGGGGGACTGTTTACTCCAGCGAAGAATCAAAGGGAGGGTGCTGCTGTGTCAGATGGCGGGAAGAATGTGGAGGTGGGTGGACAGAATGTAATGGAAATGCGTGTGTGAGCGCCTGTTTGTATTTCAGGCTCTGGGAGACTGGGAAGGTTTGTTAAAGACACGTTGAGAGGTTGTTGCCGTGGGGACAGCTCACATATGGATTAGCCTGACACCGAGAACCAGAGGTTGCAGATACATATGACACGTAAACATGTTGGTGAGTGGTAATGTATTTATATATGTGTTCTTAGGTATTGGGCAGAAGTACTGTACGACATGTAATATACCTCAGGCTTATATAAATGTATGCTGGGATGGGGTATGGTAATGTGTAGGCAGTAAGTGTTCACTGCTCTGCAGGGCAAAATAACTTGTATGATAGTCTGACTTTGTGAGACATTTAAAAATAGTTGTCAGATAAAAATTAACATCATAGTGAGAGATCACCAGTTTGTCTCCCTCGTGGTGAGGTGTCTTTTCATGACTTTCTTATTCTTGTCACAAGCGTGGTGTTTTAAATGTTTTATTTTGTTCTGTTGTTCGATTATTAGTATTGTTCTGTTTTATTTTGTTCTTAAGGGAAGAGAATACAGGGCATCCTTCACGGTGGACATCGAGCAGACGGCATTGCGACGTCTTTTGGGAAAAAATGGAACACCAAACTGGCCAGTGTTCGATGGGAATCTTCTAAATTGGATTACAAGTCTGGCTTAATTGCAGCTTTTTTCTTTAGATCCCCAAAAAATAGACAGTTGGTACTTTTGAGGATTAAAAATGTACAAAAACTATACAGGACAGCTCGAACTTTGGATGTAAAATTAAGACAAAACTAGGTTTGGGGAGCTTAGGGAAATTATTGTAGCTCATGTATAATGATCTGCTATCTCATTAGGCTAAGCCAAACTCCAGTCAGTTAGTACAACACCTGCAAATGGGAAAGAAAAGCGAAAAGCACCCAAGATTTTTATGCTAAGTATGTATGTTACTTAGCATTTCACCCAGCAATACAGAACTGTTACAAAAACAAAAGCCATCATGCAATAGTTTGCAAACAAATATTACATACATAGAAAGGTTACCTCTCAATCAAAGCAGGGTTTCTGCAGTGGTCAGTGCCACATTAAATATATTTCTTAACAGTCATTCTGCAGGAAGGATGCAGGTAAATTAAGAATAATTATTATTTTAGAATTTGTTCAATTATTATTTTTTAATCACCTCAAAAAAAGGCATTGCTTGGTATCTGGATTTACATACATAAGGAACTGATCATAAAATCTGATATCACATAAAATAATGAGATGATTAGCTAGCTACTAGAGTAAAAACTAGCAAAGATTTTCTCAAGGTCTGAGGGCATTGACTGAATAAAGAAAAAAGGACTGAACAGCTAAGTAAACACCTAAGCGTGCCTATAAGAGCTAAGAAAACAATGCTCAAGAACTTTGATAGAAAAACAGCTTTACTGTTTTAAAAAGACATAGCACAGCCTCACAAAAATCACAAGTTCATTTCATGTGCTAAATGATATAAATTGTCTAAGCCTTCTTTTGCTCTAGGCTTGGTCTCTTTTATGCTTTGCCCAAAACAGCTGATAATTAATAACCAGCAAATGCTATCAAGTCAACTATTTAATAACAAGTAATTATCTGCAAGGTGGCTGGGCTCTTTGCCTTAGAGATAGGATGAAGAGCTCAGACATCTGGAGGGAGCTTGCAGTGGAGCCGCTGCTCCTGAGTGCTGAGCGAACACAGTAAAGGTGGTTCAGGCATCTGGTTAGGCTGCTTGCTGGGTAACCCCCTTTGGAGGTTTTCCCAGGCATGCCCAACTGGGAAGAGACACTGGGGTAGACCCAGAGCTCATTGGAGACGTAATGCTCATCTGGTCTGGGAACACTTCAGGATCCCCCAGGAGGAAATGCAAAGTGTTGTTGGGGAGTTGTTGGGACTTCTAGAATTCCCGTTTTAGCCTGCAATGACGAAAACTCAGATAAGTTCAGAGAAGTGGAAGATGGATGGATTCTCAGTAAATGAGTTTGTGTCACATTTCATAGTTGTGTTTAAATGTCTGTTCAGCACACATTAAAGCTGGACTGTTTAAAGTTCAAAATAGCTCCAGTAAATGGCTCCAGTTATACTAGCAAAAGAAAAATGTGTTGATGTTTTGGTAAGATATTAAAGTATTCTCATTAGTCTTTATCAGCCACTCTGGCTCTGACTCTTCCAATGTCAAAGGCATGTGAGAATCTTCCCTCAGTAGCAGGTGTGATAATTGAGACTATAAGGTGAACCAGGCTAGACTGTAGGCTAGACAATGTGTGTGTGGATGAGAAGCAAGTCACAGTCGATAAGGGTTTTTGCTGTGGGATAAGCTTTGAAGACTCAGGGCAGACTAGATGAAATCAAATTGTCTTGACAAATTGCTTCCATTGGCCTAAAACAAGTTCCCAACATTTTTCGAGGTGACAAAATGTCTTATTTCCTGAGGCAATAAGAGTTACATTACCACCTCTACCAGGAACTGCAAGGTGTCAGCAAAATATGTGGCTTACAGTTCTTGTCTTACAAAATTTGGTAGGATTAAACACATTGAACCTGGGATTAGGCATAAATGTTGCAGTGCTGAGATTCAAATGGATGCTATTTTAAAGACGTGTAATTTTACAATTCACAAAACTACTATGCAAGTGTGTTTTCTTTGTGGATATTTACAAAGTTTAGTTCAGCCATAACCCAACTTTATTTTATATCTACATGACTGGTAGAAAGACAGTAGAAGAGTAAAGTCAGAGGATGAATAGAGCCAGCAAGAGTGATGGAAGATGGTCACTGAAGATGAGCCATGGGGGAGTGATCAATGGAGGCTGAACAGCAAAAGACAGTAAGTATTATTCTGCATCAAACATTGTTCTAGGCAACCCAAAGCCAGTGGGACAAAGACAGAGACCGAGAAAGATCTCAAAAATCTCCACACTGGGGAAACAAGTTCCAGTGATTTATTCAGCAGATCGTCTGTTTAAATCATGGGAGAGTTAAGGCACTGTAAGGGAAAAAATACCATAACCAAAACAAACTTTATTGCTAACAGTTAAAGTGTGTGTGTACTTCAGCTGGGGAACAGGTGGGATGTAACTACAGAGATTTTAATACAGATGCTACCAGCTGCGGCAGCGAGACTGAAACCCTCATTCTCAAAATCCTCTGGAGAGAGAAGAAGCTTTAATGGATGGGGGGTAAAATTAGCAATGGCACTGAAACAAAGATGGATCCATGCTGCCAATATCAGTATGTAGTCCTGTGAAGGGAGACTAAAGACCTAACTGGCATAGCTGCCAGCACTCTCTCATATCCCAGGGGTCTTAAGTACCTTAGCTCCACAATCAGCTCGGAAGGTTCCTTCGATTTGTTGAGTCAGACCTTTATTTAAGCGTATCTTTTCAGAAATGTGCCTCTAACTGTGTCTCTTTCTCAACATTTCTTTAAATAGTTTTTTGATATTTTTAGGGATAGAAGTACTGATCTGCCCCATCTGTCTACTATTTGGTCCCAAAATATTAACCTATGGATCACCCTGAGAATTTGTACACACATCTATGGACCACAAAGGATGAAATCCAATGACCCTGGTTATCCCTTGACTGTAACATAGTGATGCTTGAGCAGGACCCCTTTGTGTCGATTTTTAAATGAAGCGCTCCTCATGCCTTGAGCATCTGTTTTTAAAGTGCAGAGTAGTCTGATGGACTCCTCTAGAAGCCCCCTCTGGACTGTATGCTTGACAGGGTCCAGGAGTAAACACATGGTCAACAGTGCCATAAGCATCAGCATCATTAAAATGCTGTGGTTCATACCATGTAGGAACAAGAGTAAGTCATTTTTATCCCTAAGCAATGCAGAACCATTGCTGTGACGCATTCTTGAAGCCTGACTCATATTTCTCCAAAACACCATTACTGGGATAAAACAACCTTTCCCGCTATGTTGGACAGAAAGGGTTATTTTAAGAGTAAGAGAAATTTGTTTTTGAAAGCAAGCTAAACCTATTTCCTGTTGGCAAGTGTACTGCTGAAAATATTATGAGACAGGAAAGAGTGGCGAGGCTAAAAACTGTGAGATCTTACATTGTCAGTAGAAATACTGGCCTTTAGGAAACCCACCTGAATAAATACATGCAGCACTAGTTGAACAGGACAAACAAGACAAAAGACACCCACTTGAGAGTCTTCTTTATTCTTGTAAGACAATTTCAGCAATGCAAAGCATTAAAGTGTCATAATTGTATTTTTCTTGTTTCACAGAGAGCCAGACAAGATGTCAAGGCTGTACTCGGTGGTGCGGCCAACAAAGACGAATGATCTTATACGAGAGATGACTCTGAGGTCAGGCTGATATTGTCATAGCACTGACTTTTTAGTTTTATTACCATCGACCTGCCTCACTGGAGAATGTATTGACTGAGAATGTGAATGAGCTATCTTGGATATTTATGACCGCACTTCGTTCATGCATTCCTGATGCTGAAGGAAAAGCCAAAGACAAAATGAAAGAGCTCAATGAATTGCATAAAATTTGTGAGAATCTGTTTTTGTTGGATGAAATTTGTTTCTTGCATTTCTGTCTTCATCTGAAAACAATTACTTGTGTATGAATGTAATTCTGCATAAATGACCGTATGTTGAATTAGTATTTGTTGTAGTATTTCTTGTCTTAGTTTTACTGTACAGGTTTGTCTTGCTGACCTTGTAACCCAAACAACATGTTTCCGTACTACTAACCTGTCTTACAAAATAAGTTTTGGGAGGAATGCAGTTGCTGTAGTAGTTGTAGAAAGCAAGTTGTAAAAGAGGTTGCACAAAGGAAAAAGTTTTGTCTCTTGAGGTCTTCGCTCTGCAACCTACATTACACTAACTTTCTCAAAAGGCCGCAGTCCTAGCTATAACAAGAAACTTGAGTTGGATAAACATAACTATGAGGCCATTATTCATGCTCATTACCAGGAGCTCAGAGACTTCAGTGAAGTGGAGCTGAAGAATTGATTAGTCCATCAGCTGAAAATGAATATTAATATGCAATCAGTTTGATAACTAATCATTAAAGTAACAGATAATGTTAATGTTAATAAAAATAAAGAGACATTTCAACACTTCAGCTCTTCAGTTGTGGGCTTTTTGCACTACATGCTGATTGTGTTGTGCTTTGTGAACACTGGAAATATGATTCAAATAAATTGAACTTCAAATTCAGTGGGTAACTAGGTAATGTGTTAGGAATGAAAGGATGCCACATCGTTTGATCGAATTGAGAAGCATCAACCACAGAGGGTTGGATTCAAAGATAGCATGAAAATCAAAGTGGAAAAATTATATGGCAAGCTAGCCCATTTTGCTGAAATTTCACTGCAGCAACTCAAAATGGTACTCAGTAGTTTGTATGACCCCACATGCCTGTATGCATGCCTGACAATTTTGGGGCATGTTCATTATGAGATGTGTAAAGGTGTCCCAGAAGATCTCAACTCAGATCTGAACCAGGGCATCACTGAGCGCCTAAACAATCCAACGTGCAACCTGGTGGTGTCAAATGGACTGAAACATAATGTCCTAGAGGTGTTCTAATGGATTTAGGTCAGGTGAGCGTGGGGGCCAGTCAATAGTATCAATTCGTTCATCCTCCAGGAACTGCCAGCATACTCTTGCAACATGAGTCCAAGCATTGTTGTGCACCAGGAAGAACCCAGTACCTACTATACCAGCAAAAGGTCTAAGAATTTTATCCTAATACCTAATGACAGTCCAGGTGCTGTTGACTATCCCGTAGAGATCTGAGTGTCCCTACCTGGATATGCCTCTCTAGACCATCACTAACAAACCACCAAAGAGACCAGAGACGGTCACACTAGTGGCCTGCTGAAGGTTATTTTGTAGATCCCTGGCAGTGTTGATTCTAGCCTTTCTTGCACAATTGAGCAGATAATGGTCCCGCTGGTCAGTTAAGGACCTTCTACAGCCTTGGCCAGCTCTAAGTACCTGTCTCCTGGAGTAGCTGCCTGTTTCCTGGTATCTCCTCCATCCTCTTGGAGACAAAGCAACCTTCTGGCAAAGCATGTGGCATCCAAGAGAACTTGGACTTTACTGTAGGGTTCAGATACATTGAGTTCTATTAGAAGTTCATTTTAGTTTGACTACATTTATGACTAAGGTAGCCCCCAAACCTTATGCTACAGTCACACTAGAGAAAACAGCAACTGGAGCCTTAAGTAATGAACTCGTAATGATCTCTTACTGACTTGGAAATGGTTACTTTCGAGGTGGGGAGTAGGTCTGCAAAACTCAAAGCCCTGGGTCTCAGACCCAGGACCATGATAGCCTCAGACTGATTGCAATGTGTTTGGAAACTGTTTGCCTTTTCACAAGGATGTCCTCTTATTTTTACTCTAGTGAGACTGAGCCATACATGAACACGAACAGAAAAACACATTTTTCCCAAAACGTACATCTAATAATAATGCATATAGTGTGGGAAGGTGAATGGAGTTAAATTGCAACTGCAGTTATACTGCAAGGATATTGAGAGAAAGGCACACCAACAGTGTCCCAACAAATTTATCACAACATATATATAAACTATATTAAAGAAAACTCCTATAGCAAGCACTGTGATTTTTTTTATATATACAAAATGTTTTTGGTAGTGCAAATTATTTAGAAATCAGCATAACTGAAGGAGACATGAAAGAAGTGTTTTGTAGAAGAGATACTGAAATACTGCAAAATAGAAGATATCTGTGCTTGAGTGTGTGGACATGTGTTCATGTTTATATATCTTTGTGAGGACCAAAAAATAGAATGCTACTATACTTGTGGGGACCAACAGTCCCTTATGAGGACAAAATGCCCATCCCCATGAGTTTGAAGACATTTTTGAGACTCAAAATGTGGTTTTAGTGTCAGGGTTACAATTAGGTTATGATTAGGTTTAGGCCAAAGGTTATGGTTAGGAATTCATTTTTGATGGTTAGGGTTAGTGGCTAGGGAAAGCATTGTTTGAACAAGGGATAGCAGCTTGTGCTACATTCCTTTTTACCAGCTGCCATTCAAAACGTATTGCCGTGTAGCTTGGCACTAAAAAAAGAAAAAGAAGAAGAAAAAAAAGAAACGTAGAAAACCAAGGAGTGAAACACACATCCTGTTATTTTGTCAGTGTCACTGGTGCAATGACAGGAATAGGTTGGGTGGGTTGAGGAGGAGGGGGCAGTGGGGTGGTTGGTTGGACCTTGAAACCAAGCAAGCAAGAGAATGGACCCAACTGAGCAACGGGCTGGCAAGGCAGGCGAAAATAAACAGTGGGCTTGAAGAATCAATTCAGCGTGCCTGTCAGAAGACTGTCAAACTCCCCTCCATGATGGACAGTCTGGATGTTCACAGTCTATTCGCCGCCAGGCTGCGGAGCGGTGAGTAAGTGAACCATGCCGGCCGAGCAGACAATATGAAGAGGGAGTGCAGAGCAATATCTGCTGTTGCCATGCTAGATCAGCATAAACGTCAAGGCCACTCTGGTGTGGCCTGAGGGGTCTTCTGGGGAGAGTTACATCCAAGAGGTGGGTGTATTTGTGCGCATAGATTGTCAATATATGCATATGCTTGCAGTGTGATACGTATTAGTCACTGCGGGATTGTACGTGAAAAGTGATAACAAAAATCAGCCTTGAAATTTCAATTAACTCAATTCATTTACTTATGGCTCGATTTCTTTTTCATGGTGTCCATATACGCCTACACAAGTAGACGAGATGAATTCACAGAAAATCTCATATAGGGATGCTGTTGTGAGCAATTAACAGCTGGTTTTGTTCTCAAAATTAAGCAGAACACCCCCAAAACAAACAGAATCGTTTGTAATTATTCATAATTATCGCCCATGTTGTAGCCATGCAGAGACACCCGCAACGATAACAGGATTTTTTTTAAGCAGTTTAAGAACGGAACTCATCCAGGAGTTTATGCAAGACAGATAATATCATTCATCAAGTCTCGGGGAGGGGAGATTTGTTTTCCCCTTGTGTTTGACTTGTCATCATTGCTCAGTGGTGAGTAAATTGTGATTAAAAATAGATTACCAGTTAAAAATGAAACCTGTAACAGCAGACACTTCTTGAAGTTTGTTTTTTTTCCCTTTAGTTTACTTTGATTAAAAAAAGAAATATATGTAATGCATACTAGCATTCTAACAATATGTAATCTACAAGCCTGCAATATTTGTAAATGATAATATTCATTTGAAGCTATAATTTCACAGAGTGCATAATCATTCAGATTATAATTAACATCTCCATGCATATAATAACTGATTGGTTACAAATTTTATGCTACCCCAATCATCTGCAGATTTTCCTAACATGCAAAAAAAAAAACAGCCAGTTTTTTCTTGGTGATTTTTTCTCTTTTTTTTTTACATACAGCTCTCATTTCTTCACAAAGATAGATGTTTAAAATTCCAGCCCATGGTGACCTTTTGCTTAGTGGGAATTCACATGTACACATGGTGGGCTATTTTGTGTAATTAGAGGTCTGATCAGGGCTGGTTTGGTGTGATCATGGTGGAATTAATGTTTAAACACTCACTGAGAGCTTTATTTCAAACACGCCCAGTCTAGTCTAGTGCAATCCAATATAGCAGCTATCTAATAAATGATCCTCGGTGGACAGCTTTTAAGGTCCTCTGTAAACCCCCTTTAAAAAGATTTTGCGCTGTTTTGCATGTGGTTTCTTCTAATTTTACCCCACAGTTTTTCATGTTAGTTTGAAGTGCCTTTCACTTCCTCCAAGCACAGTGTTTCATTTTTGATTTTGTCCCCAATGTCTTTGGAACTTCCAAGGCATCTTTTACAAATGTAAGACATAACACAAAGTTGTTTTTGTGAGAGTAGTGTTTTCCTTTGTGGTGTCCTTCCATTTACACTTATTCTTACACTGTCTGTGGACACACGGATAAAGGTTTTAGCAGGTTGTAGAGATTTCTGCAGGTGTTCTACTCTTACCCTTGGGTTCTTTTTCACCTCTTTCGGTATTGCATGTTGTGATCTTGGTGTGATCTTTGCAGGATTCCCAGTGCTTGAGAGAATAAGAACAGGGTTTATGTAACGGTTTCATTGTGGCTTGTGAAACCCAAACTTTTCTGACTTTGTGCATTTCTATAATGTTTCTTATATATTTTTGTGAATGGTTCACACTGACCAGTTATTACTGTGATGACGTTCTCAGTCTCTTTTTATTCATAAATAAGGGCACCTCCACTACCTTTACCATCAGTCTCTTTTTCGTAATTGGAATGCTGGACATCGAGTCAGTGTTGTGCGATGCTGCAAATTTTGGTATTGATGTGAGAGTAAACATAGAGCCAGTATTGCTAATACCAATACTGGTACTTTTCACTTATAAAGGCAGCTTATGTAGTGGAGATCTGTGTGTCATAACTGCTGAGATTAATCATCATTGAATTGCAAACTCTGAACACATTTTAACAACCACTAAATCACTGTAATTGTTACTTTTTAACAATAGTTCACACACGAAATACAACTTTAAGTTGTTTTTTGAATGTATTTTAAAACTGGGCGCTTTATAGAGTTGTAATATAAATGTCCATCCATCTACTTTCTTCCGCTAATCCAGGACGGGGTCACAGGGGCAGCAGCCTAAGTAGAAAAGGCCAGACCTCCCTTTCCCCAGCCACATCCTTTAGCTTGTCCTGGGGAAACTAAGGCTGTCATAAAATGGCTGTGCAGGCAGGCAGGAATGGACCCAAATGCAAACTCACAGAGACGAAAAATAAACTCAAAAACACAGCTTTATTAGCTGGCATGGAGGTGATACAAAGACTGGGATTCTGTAACTTAGTGAAACACAGGGAGAGAAACACAGCCATGAGGGAGGACGTGGCATGGAATTGAGGGAGACACTGACATGAATACACAGAAGATGCTTGAACCACCTAACCTGGCCCCTTTTGATGTGGAGGAGTAGCGGCTCTACTCTGAGCCCCCTCCTGAATGCCCGAGTTCCTCATCTATCTCTAAGTGAGAGGCCAGCCACCCTTTGGAGAAAGCTAATTTCCACCGCTT